TGCACTCGGCGCAGAAGAACCCTGAGCTGATGGGGCATGAGATGAACTCTGAGCTGGGAAGGCACTGAGTGAAGAGTGGCCTTGCTGAAACCCATGATGACCACGGTCTGAAGATCCCCCGCGATACTCTGGACGGGCCGACTGAGCAGGCCTGAAAGAACGGCCTCTACCATGCTAGAACTGGCCCCTCGAAGGAGCACCACTGTAGCTGCCCGATCCACAAGGCCTTTTGGCCTCCCTCTCCTCTCGCTCTCCACGACGAACTGACTCGATCTCACGAGCGATATCCACCACCTCCTCAAATGTAGCACCCAATACTCTCTCTCTAGTCATCAGAATACGGAGATGGTAGTTAAGGCCATCCACAAATCTCTTGATCCTCTCACGATCTGACGGAATCATCCAAATAGCATGACGGGCCAACTGTGAAAACCTCATCTCATACTGGGTCACGGTCATATCCCCTTACGTCAACCACTCAAACTGTCTACGCAGCTCCTCTCTGCGGGACTGCGGTACATGCTTCTCCAGGGAGAGAGCGGAGAACTGCTGCCAAGAAAGGGGTGCTGCACCGACAGGCCTACGCCTCTCAAAATCCTCCCACCAAGTAAAAGCAGCCCCGGTAAACTGAAAGATGGTAAATGCCACACCACTAGACTCAAGAATCCCTGCTGTACGGAGCATCCGCTGACACCTATCAAGAAAACCCTGGGCATCCTCGCCCTCAGCACCACTGAATGTCGGAGGCTGGAGTCTACCAAACCTCTCAAGACGACGCTGCTCATCCTCCGGCATAAGTGGAACCCTGAACTCCTGCACTGGTGCAACCTACTGAGCTAAAGGTGCCTTTGGCGTCTGTAGTCTCTGCACTACCTGCTCAGGTGTGCGAGCAGCGGGGGTCTGGTTGCCTCCCCCGACCTGCGAAGTAGCTGTTGCTGTGGTGGCAGAAACTGCCTGAGCCAGGCCAGTGCAAACTATCAAGATCTGTGCCAAGGTCTCCTGAAGACCCGGAATCACGATGGGCACAGCTGGTGCCTGAACTGGTGCTGTTGGAGTCTTATCTGGAGCTGGGGCAGTTGGTGGATCGATAGATGCTGCCCTCACTACTCTGCCTCTGCCATGACCACGACCACGTCCCCGGCCTCTGGTGGCCTCAGTGGGTGGTACTGGTGGTCGTCCACCTCGTCCGTTAGCTCGTGTCCTCACCATCTGTGAGAGAATAGAATAATAGAAGTTTAGTTCTCAGTTCAACAAAGCCGCATGACAAGAATTTCAAGAATGTGAAGTTTTCCTAAAGGTTCTGCAGCCTCTCGAGGATAAATACAGACGTCTCCGTACCGATCCGCGAGCCTCTACTAAACCGGCTCATGACTTGCGAGACCTAGTAACCTAGGCTCTGATACCAACTTATCACGACCCCAACCCCGGTCGTGATGGCGCCCAACACACTGCTAGGCAAGCCTGACCAATTAACAACCTTAACCCAATCCTCATGCGGTTCATTATTAACTAACACAGATAAAATACCAAGTCATAGTACTAGAAGTCTGAAATAAGAGTTTAACATGCGGAATTTCAAATAATAATCCTACTACACAGCCCAAAAGATCCGATGTCACAAGTCTGAGCCTCTACTACAAGTTTATCAACCTGATACATATCAATCTAGGAAAAACGGATAAAACAAAAGGATAGAAGGGAGAGATCAGGGGTGCGAACGCCATGCAGCTACCTCAATGCTCCCAAGTATACGCTGCTCAACTGAAAATCCTCATGCAGTCTCAGATGCACCTGGATCTGCACGCTAGGTGGAGGGAGTAATGTGAGTACTCCGATCCAGTGAGTAATAAACATAAATAAAGGCTGAGAGTAAGAAATCACGGAAAACACAGAGCAATATATAATTCGACAATTTAAAACAAGTAATATGAAAGCGATAAACCAATGAAATCGAAATGTGACAATACTACAGCAAATAAGCAGTTAAGTGGCAGGTATAGAAAGGAAAATCAAACACATAGAATGGTACCCTCTAGTACCCGCTGCGGCGTGCAGTCCGATCCATTTATTTATCGTCGACGGCGCTCACTGGGGGTGTGCAGACTCCGGGAGGGGCCCCTTACGGCCCAAGCGCAATATCAAGCCATCTCATGGCATCAACTAGGACCTTGGCCTGATATCAATATCAACATAATACTGCTGCGGCGCGCAGCCCGATCCATACTCGGTCCAGAAATCACATAAGCCCCTCGGGCCATAATAATATAGAAATTCTCAGCCCAAAACATTATCAGAAATATCATTTAAGTTTCAAATCTGAGTAAAAGTGGCTGAGTTTGTAAAACAGTATTAAACAAAAGAACTGAGTTCAAGTAATATGTCAAAATGGTGAGGAAACAGTAATAGCAATCCCCGAAGGGTTCAAATAGTTGGCCCGAAGCCCAAATATGACGATTAGTCCAAATAAGGATGATGTCAAATAAGCTTCAATCAATTACGCGGTAAAAAAATCACTCGGGACGGGACAAGTCCCAATCCCCAATAGTAAACGACCCCGCGCTCATCATCAAGTGCGAGTCTCACCTCACTATAGCACTACAATGTGCAAATCCGGGGTTTCAAACCCTCACGACGTCATTTACATTCATTACTCACCTCAAACCGGCTAAAGCTCTAGCTCGCTATGCCCTTGCCTCTCAAATCGGCCTCCTCGCGCGTCGAATCTGACCAAAACCAGAGAGAATACGTTACAATAGGCTAAGGGAACAAAGCCCAAGCGAAAACAATCGAAAAACATCAAAAATCCCGAAATTGGCAAAACCCGAGCCTCGGGCCCACTTCTCAAAACTCAGAATTTTTTACACCAACAGGTTCCTTATCTCGCTACGAGTTCACACATATCAAAAACACAAAAATCGGAGTCCATTTGACCCCTCATATCCTTAATCTTAGCTCTCTTAAGTTCAATCCCTAAACCTCCATTTTTAGTCCATAAATCCCTAAATTTTCAGTACTAATTCATGAAATAACACCATAGGATTGTGTTTTGAGTCAAAAATCCTTACCTTATCGAAGTTCTCTTGAAATCTCCCTTCAAAATCGCCCAAAAGCCCTCAATCCGAAGTTAGGAATGATGAAACCCTTCAAAAATCGCGAAGGATGAAATATATACCTTCTGCCCAGGGGTTTTTGCATCTACGACCCCTCCACCGCATCTGCGGTACCGCATTTGCGGTTACAAGTCCGCTTCTACGGAAATTCATTAAAGGCCCGAATCTGCATCTGCGGCCCACTAGCCGCATATGCGGCTCCGCAGGTGCGGGCACCCCACCGCATCGGCGGTCCCAACCTTTCTCTCCCAAAACCGCTTCTGCGGTCAAATGGTCGCATCTGCGACTCCGCAGGTGCGGTCCCCATACCGCATCTGCAGTTCCTGACTCTCCTTCTTAAAACCGCATCTGCGCCTTTCCTTCCGCATCTGCAACACCGCACCTGCGGTCCCCGAGCCGCATGTGCGAAAACACCAGAAGCAGCAAGGAAATCTGCAATCACTCAAGTTCCAAAACTTCCCGTTAGCCATCCTAAATCACCCCGAGGCCCCCGGGACCTCAACCAAAAGCACCAACACCTCCAAAAACCTCATTCAAACTTGTTCCAATCATCAAAACACCTCAAACAATACCAAAACCATCAAATTACATCGAATTCAAGCCTAAGTTCTTCTAAAACTTCTGAAACACGCATTTGATCAAAAACCCAACCAACTCACCTCCGAATGACCTGAAATTTTACACACACATCCCAAATCAACTAAGGAAGCTACAGCAACTCTCGGAATTCCATTCCGACCCTCGTATCAAAATCTTACCTATCGACCGGAAATCGTCAAAATACTAACTTCGCCAATTCAAGCCTAATTCTACGCCGGACCTCCAAAACCACTTCCGATCACACTCCTAAGTTACAAATCATCCCTCGAAGCTAATTGAATCATCGGAATTTGCATCCGAGCCCTTTAACTCATATGTCAACATCCGGTTGACTTTTCCAACTCAAGCCTTCTTAAAAGAGACTAAGTGTCTCATTTCGTACTAAAATCACTCCAAACCAACTCGATCACACAAGACACTGATAATGAAGCATAAAGAAGCAGAAAATGGGGGATACGGAGCGGTAACCCATGAGACGACGGGTCGGGTCGTCACATATATGATAGTTTTATTTTTTTGCCTAAAAGTCTATTTCGACGTTGTAGCCTGGCAAGCTAAATAAAATAAGAGAACTTGTTAATTTGTGTATTTATAAGTTGAATTAGTTTGGAATAGTCGGTTGGATTGACTCTGATGCTGCAACTGATTTCTTTTTCGAAAAATATTATTCTGCAATATAAATAGTGCCAATGACCTTATCGAACTAGCTGTATATTTAGTCAATTGCTATTTTCAAGTGAATTTGAGTTATTGATACCCAAGTTTATTGACAATAGCCATTTTACTATGACCGAAAAACTTTGGAGAAGAAACAACTCTTCTCTCAAAGCTTTGGTTATAAGATTACAAGAAAAACAAGGAGGAATGTATCTGTAAGTTCATGTGGCAAAAGTATGGTGGAAGTCTGGTGCTTTCCCTATTCACATAGATGGGCATGATTCTCTCTTTATGGATGAATTGCCGCAACTAACAAGAGAAGGTTAATTGCCTCTCTTCTCTGTTTATTACTTTATTTTCACTTTTCTTGAGCCGAGTGTCTTTCGAAAATAGCCTCTCTAACATCATAAGGTTGGGGTAAGGTCTGGTTATACATTACCCTCCTCAGACCCCATTTGTGGGATCCCCATTTGTGTGATTCCACTGGGTCTCTTGTTGTTAACAAGAGAAGGTTAATATTAAATTATATGTAAGAACTATTCTTGATCAATTTTGTTATTTACTATCTACAACTAAAGATCATTCAATTTTCTACTTGCTGATTTTTCTTACTGGTTCATTCTGAATTCTTAGGCGACCAATGATGGAAACGCGTATCTGGTCTATATGAACAAAAAATCTCAGGTCTCAATAGAATTTCAAGACTTTCATCCTCAGATATTATTACTTTATGTTATTGAATTGTACTTGCTCATACATAGATGAAAACACTAACTTTTGTGGAATCAATAGATTGTGACCAAGTTGAAGAGTACACATGTCGATGGAGCTTTTTCTAAAAATAATAAAGGTAAGCTCTATCCGTACAATTTCATGGTAGTTAAAACCAGAGTTGTTTATAAAGTATGTGATGAAAGTGAGGTATGATTGTTCATAAAAGAGTTGGAGGCCCAGATTTGTATCTTGGGATTAATAATGCTCAGGATCTTCTGGAGTTCAAGTGCAAAAACAAACAAGATGATAGAATGCCGAAACTTCTTGATCGGCCAAGCAAAAGCTCGGTCTAATTGAGAGTGTTGAACATTAATAAGAACTTTTGACTAACTTATTAATTTTTTCTTTCGTTTTTTGTGTTATATATTTAATATAAAAATATTCGTGACACTACTTAGTTTGTCTGTATGATAACTTTTGACTTAAGGTAGAAGCTACATATCAAATGAGAAAATAAGATCTTTAGATAGAATTTAGAAGTATTATTTGTAAGGCCATGGGAAGAAGGAATTTTAAATTCTTTTTATTTCTTGGGAAGCATGGATTTTTCGATACATGATTCTGTTTCTAAGTTGATCTTGGTAACCTGCTCTTATGCTTCAAGATCAGTTTTTTATTGTCTCATCCAGTGCTATATACATATTCATTAGCTTTATCACGCGTATATTCATAACCACGATCTATATATGTCCCCTTTTTGGTCTTTTGGGTTCTGGATTCCTTTCAAAGGTTACTCATGATAAATATATTGCTTCATCCAAAAAAAAAATTGTATTGTATCACAAAATTAATTTCCATGTACCGAGTAATGCTATTCTTGGTTTATTTGTAGGTTGTGAAGGAAATTCAGATTGACCTTGGAGAGAAATTGCTGCACTTCAAGGGACTTCAAGTCTGAAGAATGAATAGAATTTTCTGGGAAGCAAATGTTATTTTTGCTTGATTTCGTGTGATAAAATTTCTTGTTTTAAACTCTATGCAAACACGTTCCATTTAGTTTGCTTTATGTTTTGTGGATCATCACTAATTGAAGATCTTCTTTGTTAAATAGGTTTTGCATCAGAGATGGATCTTCATTCTAAAAAAGGGTCGAAAAAATGAGGAATACATGGGTCAAAGCGAAATAGATGTGCAAGCACGCAAATATTCATCAATAATTCATTAATATATGTACATCCAAAGGGACCTTAATTTTTTGTAGTTGTTTAGTGATTGAATATTGGACATTTGAGAGTTGTGGAAATTTCGGTGATATGCCGTGAATAAATATGGTAAAAGCTAACTTACAAAAAAATATATAGTAACTAAAATAAATGTTGTTAGAAGCTAAAAAAAAAGGGACAAGGAATATCTCGATGTATGACTTTGACAACTGCCGATAGCACTAAAATAGCTATTAACTTTATGGTCTTCATCTTAAATTCATACTTTGATTATTATAGTTTCGTTATTCTATATTTGCATTTGTATTTTTGGTTATCTTTTCCTTCATGTTTTACCTTTTTAATTAGAAAGAAGATAATAGCACTATTGTGGGCTCACCTAGAGGCAAGATATAGATATGCATCTTGAACTGAGCTGTCCATTGGTTATCTTTTTCACCATTTACATGCTTATGTGGCTGCCACTATGAATAGCAAGAATGCATTATTGTTGGAGACGAAGCTTCTCCAAATCTGGATAAAGGTTGAAGAAGGCGTGCAAAATGGTTAGATACAGAATTAGGGATTTATTATTTCAGCTTGTACACGTGGCATGATCCAGTCCATCAATCTCCACCTAAGTTCTCTCATCTCACCCGTTAGGTTTAGAACATTAATTGACAACTGTAGGTCACTAGTTATGTATTCTTATTCTTTCATTTACACGTGTACAAAAATAGTTAGTGGTTAGGTAGTTAGTAGAGGACACAAGTGACTATTATATATAATTGTATAGTACATTTTGGAGATCAGATTGGGAATACAATTTTTAGCATTTTGCAGAAATTCTCTCTCTAGAATTGCAACATGCTATCAGAGCTTGGGGGTGATCCAGCTCAAATTTCGATTCCAAATCTCATCTGGTTTATCTCTGATTTTTTGATCTCAATACAACAGTGAAATCATTACTAAATTTTTGATTTCATGCAGGTTTGATTCTGAAATTTTTCTTCACAATTTCCTTTGAGATTTCTAGGTTTTGTTTCCTTCATTTTCTGTTGATTTACCACTGAAATGGCAGTACCAGCAAAAATTAATCCTGATCATCATCATTATCTTCATGCCTCTGATTTGCCTGGGCTAGCTTTGGTCTCACCTCCATTTGATGGATCTGGATATGGTGTTTGGAGGAAATATATTTTGATTGCATTATCAGCCAAAAACAAACTCTGTTTTATTGATGGAAGCTTGAGCAGGCCAAAGGATGATTCACCTGACTCGAAGTATTGGATCCGATGTGATTATATGGTATTTCCTTGTGTCCTAAATGCCTTGACCAGCGAGATCAGACCTAGTGTAATTCATTCAAAATCATTTAGAATTCTGTGGACACAATTGGAGGAGAGGTATGGACAATCGAATTTAGCTCAATCTTTTGAATTACAAAAACAACTCTTAGAAGTAGTTCAAGGCTCAAACATATTTGCTAATTACTTCAACAAAATCAAGGCTATATGGGATGAGATAGAGTTACTTGATGCTAGAACTGTGTGTGTTTGTGTGTATTGTAAGTGTGGTGTACTTGAAAAGAATTATGCCCTTGAAGAAAGGTAAAAATTAGTGCATTTCTTAATGGGACTAAATCAGACATACACTGGGGTAAGAGGTAATATCATGATGATGCAACCTTCACCTACAGTTGACAGAGCCTATTACTTATTGCTTCAAGAGGAGAGACAAAGAGAAATTCAATCTATAGGACACTATCCTAGTGACTCCAGCTCTTTTGTTGCCACACCACAGAAATTCAATCAATCATATGGAAACTTTAACACGTTTGGTGGACAGTCTGGGAGTTCCTGTGGTGCGAATAATTCCCAAGCTGGGAATTCTTTTGGTGGATATGGCTATAGGAATAACCAGGAACACAGGAAAGGGCTATTCTGTAACTACTATAAAAAAGTCAGGTCACATTATTGAGAAATGTTTTAAAATTCATGCCTATCCTCAACAACAAAATTTCAGAAACTATAACAGACAAGGAAGGACACAAAATTTTGTTCAAGGACATTCTGTGTTCTCAGATGAACGTGTAGGACAATTTCATAAAAATGAGACATAAGCCACAATTGGTATTAAACAAGAACAACTTACACAATTGATGAAACTATTTCAACAGGTTAAAATTGGGCAACAGACAGTAGCAAATTTGGAGGTCAATGCAAATGTCAACTGTGCTGGTACATCTCTGCTTGCTCCTATTATTTTTTCTAAGAACACTAAGAGTCATTTTTGGATCATTGACTCTGGAGCCTCTGAACACATGACTTTCGATTCCAGTATTCTCAAAAACATCAAAATCCTTCCTACTCCTATGAATGTAACTTTTCATAATTCTAAAAGAGTAAAAGTAACACATTCAGGACAAGTCACAGTACACCCTAAGTTGATCCTACGCAATGTTCCGCTAGTTCCAGACTTTAGATTAAGTCTCATGTCTATTCACAGATTATGCACACAATTCAAATCCATTCTTACCTTTGCTGATTCTTTCTGTTTCTTGCTGGGCCTTTCCTTGAGGAGGCCTTTGGTTCTTGGTGATGTCAAAGCTAGACTATATCTTCTTTACTTCACACATTGCTTTCCTGATTCCCTATACATAGAAAATAAAACTAAATCAGTCATTCCATCTTCCATTGTAAATACATCTAATGTTTCACATTTTATCAGTAGTTTTGTGATTTCTTGTGACAGATTATGGCATGTAAGACTTGTTCATTTACCAATTTCTACTATGAGGCATATCCCTGGTTGCACACAACCTAATTCCACACAGGCTGGTTTCCCTTTTGCTATTTGCCCTATGGCTAGACAGCATAAATTGCCTTTTTCTAATAGCATCACTTCTACCACTCACATTTTTGAGCTTATCCACATAGACACTTAGGGACCTTATAAAACACCTACACATGATGATTTAAGTAGTTTTTTACTATTGTTGATGACTACAGTAGGGTACTTGGACATATTTGCTTAGTACCAAGAGTAATGCTTTTACAATACTTCAATCCTTTCTTTCTATGGTTGAGAGACAATTTGATACCAAAGTTAAGACCATAAGGTCTGACAATGCTTTTGAACTAGGGAGCACTGTTGCAGCCACCATGTACTTTGCTTCTAAGGGCATTTTACACCAAACATTATGTGTTGGTACTCCTCAGCAAAATGACATTATTGACGAAAACACAAATATTTATTGGAAATCTGTAGAGCCCTTCTTTTTCATTTTAAAGTACCTATAGCCTTTTGGGGAGAATGTCTTCTAACAACAACTTTTCTCATAAACAGGTTTCCCTCTAAACTACTTCACTATAAAACACCCTATGAGATTTTATTTCAGAAACCTCCTACTTACAGTTCACTCAAATCTTTTGGATGTCTTTGCTTTGCTTCTATTTTACCACATTATAGATGGAAAATGGATCCTAGGAAAACTGCTTGTGTGTTCATAGGATACCCTTTTAGGAATAAGGGATATAAATTGCTAGACCTACAAACCAGAAACATCTTTATTTCCAGAAATGTCATCTTTCATGAATCTATTTTTCCATTTTCTGATTTAAAGACTACATTTCGTTATCCTCTATTTCCTACAGACTCTCCCTCTGACTACTCTATACCTATGCCATCCCACTTTGGTCATTCAGTTCCTACAGAGTCTTCTTCTATGTCTCCTGTTTCATCTTCTTCTCTCCCCTCTAGTAATTATTTTCCTAATTCTCCTATACTTCCTAGTCCTACATCTCCTACTTCTCATGTTCATTCATCTCCTACTCTTTCTCTTTCCAGTTCCTCCTTTTCTTCTCCTCTCATTCCTGATTATTTTTTTTCTTCACTATATCCACCTCCTGATATTGAAACTGCTTTGCGCAGGTCCTTGAGGGATCACAAAACACCTGCTTACCTAGGTGATTATATTTGTGGTGCAGTTCATTTAACTGATGTTTCCACTCCATGTTTCCTAATACTTATTTCCCCTATGCAATTTTCTTTCACTGCATTATCTTCTCCTAACCAAAATTGCTCACTTCTCTTTCCCTCATCCAAGAGCCTTCCTCATATTCCCAGGCAGCCATTCATCCAGGTTGGCAAGAAGCTATGGTCAAAGAAATTGATGCTTTAGTCACCAATGAGACCTGGGAAGTGGTTCCTTTACCACAAGGTCAAAAGGCACTACCTTGTAAATGGTTTTACAAGGTGATACTCAAGTTTGATGGTAGCTTGGAGAGATTAAAAGCTCGACTGGTTATTAGGGGGGACATACAAAGAGAAGGGATTGATTTCACAGAGACCTTCTCTCCCGTGGTTAAAATGACCACCATCTGGTGTATTTTAGCCTTGGTAGTGAAGAAAAAATGGGGATTGTATCAATTGGATGTTAATAACTCTTTCTTACATTGTGATTTGCACGAGGAAGTATATATGAAGTTCCCTGCTGGGTTAGTACCTCCTGAACCTAACATGGTTTGTCGACTTAAAAAGTCTCTAGATGGGCTTCGTCAAGCCTCAAGGCAGTGGTATGCTAGATTGACATCTGCTTTGAATTTTAAGGGTTTCACTCATTCTCTCAATGATTACTCTCTTTTTTATAAGAAGGCTGGTTCCTCTATTTCTTTGGTGGTTGTTTATGTCGATGCCATACTTCTAACGGGGAATGGCATGCAAGAATTGAATGAGCTTAAGCATTTTTTAGATTTAGAATTAAAAATTAATGATTTGGGCTACTTATCTTACTTCTTAGGCATGGAAGTTCTTCGTCTTGATTCTGGTTTGATCTTGAGCCAACGAAAGTTCACCGTGGAGCTGCTTTCTGAATTTCATTGCTGTGATCTATCTCTTGCTAATTCCCCTTTAGATACTTCGTGCAAACTCTTTGCTAATAAGGGTGATATTATGTCTGATCCTACGTTGTATCGCCGATTGTTGGGCTAGTTGAATTTTTTGACTCACACGTGCCCAAATTTGTCTTTTGCAGTCCAGCATCTGAGTCAGTTCATGTATACCCCTCGTGTTCCTCATCTGGCTACTGCTGACACTGCCTTCGCTATCTTCTTCGTGACCCTGATTTGGGGCTTTTTATGTCTGATTCTCCCTCGTTTGAACTTATTGCTTTCTGTGATTCTGACTGGGGTTCTTGCCTTGATTCTCGGCGTTCCATTAGTGGTTTCTTCATCAGTCTTGGTGGCTACCCAATCTCGTGGAAATCAAAGAAACAACCCTCTGTTTATTTGTCTTCCGCGGAGGCTGAGTATCGATCTATGCGTCGTGTCGTTGCTGAGCTTACTTGGCTTGTTCGTTTACTCGACGATCTATCCATTCTGCCCCAATTGCCAGTTGCTCTCCACTCTGATAGTCAGGCGGCAATCCACATCGCCAAAAACCCTGTCTTTCACGAGCACACCAAACATGTTGAGCTTGATTGTCATTTCGTGTGCTAGAAGTTCCAGGCCGGCCTTATCTCGTTGTCCTTTGTACCATCTCACTCACAGTTAGCTGATTTTTTCACTAAGCCCCTTTCTGGGCCTCTTCATTGGGATTTACTTGGCAAGTTTGGAGTTCTTTCTCCCCCTCCCAACTTGAGGGGGGTGTTGGAGACGAAGCTTCTCCAAATCTGCATAAGGGTTGAAGAAGGTGTGCAAAATGGTTAGATACAGAGTTAGGGATTTCTTATTTCAGCTTGTACACGTGGCATGATCTAGTCCATCAATCTCCACTTAAGTTCTCTCATCTCACCCGTTAGTTTTAGCACATTAATTGATGGCTGTAGATCACTAGTTATGTATTCTTATTCTTTCATTTATACATGTGTACAAAATTAGTTAGTGGTTAGGTAGTTAGTGGAGGACACACATGACTATTATACATAGTTGTATAGTACATTTTGGAGATCAGATTAGGAATACAATTTTCACCATTTTTCAGAAACTCACTCTCTAGAATTTCAACAATTATTAACATATTATATGGGTTATCTTAATTTTCATGATTGTTGAATAGATAATTTCGTGCTGCATTTTAATATAAGCATTTTATTTTCCTACTCTGTTTGCCTCATAACAGTAAGAAAGGCAAGTATTGCACTTTGCTATTAATCATGTTTCAATGTTATTCTACTTTGTTTGCCTCGTAAAAGTAAAGAGAATTCAAGTGAAATAATTCTAGGTATGATAAGTAGTTGACTCCCTCAAAGAACTCTCATGTGCTAAAAAATTGCAGACTATGATTTTATCTTCCCAATTGTGCGCTTTAACTTGATTAAACGAAAAATTTACCTTAAATACTAAGGTAAATTTTAATTCTGGAGCATTTGGACAAGGTATATTTCCCTCGGTATTAATTATGTGAAACATGAAACAAAGCTCTCTAAACTATTAAAGAAACCATATCTTATTTTTGGGACTACAATCTGTTATTTAAGATTTTCTTTCACTTTAAATGTCAAGAACTTTATCTTAGCCTCTTTCTTCTAAAGTTATGAAATTTCCCAATGTTAATTTTCCAGTTTAGATGCCTAGTGTTTGTCTTGGTGTGACTTATTCTACTAGGACCTCAATTCTCTCCCAATTTTTTAGATATTTCTAACTGCTTATATTATGATTTAGCCTTAGTTGAGAAGCACATAATGAGAGAAATGGTACAATCTTTTTGGCGCAGAAGCTAATTTTACAGGCATACATCTTGATCTAGACCTCATTGTGGTTATTTTTTGTATTGTTTATAGTTTCTAAGATAGCAATAGTGTTGGGGATGCGTTAACCGATCATGTTCAATAAAACATAATTTTTTCATTTATATGGACATATAAATTCTTATGTCTCCTTCCTAAAGTTGTTGCACCTTGGGTCTCCGCTAATATAATAGCTCTTGTCATTCAGTGAATGACCAGGCCTTAACAATATGTAGTAAAAAATTAAAATTGCTTCTCATTTCTCATATTTGATGATTAGTTGTCTAGGCTGCTGCTTTTATGTGCTACATATAGGGCCACTTCATTTATTTTTAGTAATTGCAAGGATTGGATCAATGCATGCACTTCTTCCGGTGAATCTATGTGCTGGCAGTTGAAGCTTTACCATTGCACTATTTAGATAAATCTTGTACTATCTTAATGCTTAAGAAAATTTTGGTATCAATTTGTAGTATGAAGCTTAATATTGCTGTTAGTTTCTTTCTAAATAAATGAAAGTAGCTCTCTCACTTTTATTGTACTAAAGGAAAATGAAAATCCAATTTTTAGTAGGTGCTATAACAATTAGTGACAAGCTCATAGTTCAAACTTTGACATGCAAAAGAGCAGCATATTAGAAAAATCTACAGCTTCTCTTGAATTAGAGGAAGATTAATGACTGACTCTTCAACTGTGGCTTTCTAATCTATAGTATTTATTAGCATTCTTACTCAAATTTAATTCGGACTTACGTAATTTCTATATCAGCTATCTTGATAAATTCTAACTTAACTATTCTTGTTAAGGCAGAACTGGAGATGGAGAGAACTCAATATGCGTCTTCAAGGAAATTAATATGCGAAAAGCAATACGCTTTACATGTCCAATGTCACGCCCGTGTACCTCCTGATTGTAATGGTCGGGCTTGGCTCTGCTTGCCGGTCATGCTACATGAGCCTTAAGACGCCTCCAAGCAAGCAAAGGTTTTCGTGATAATTACCGCACTTGAAAAAAACTAAAAAATATCTACTAAAATAATTGTACATATCTGTTTAGTGAAAATTTCTCCTTTGTTTTTATTTTATGTTGTAACTTCTTTTCATTCTTGAGGGCAAATACAAAGGAGAAAATATTTTTTGATGGTGCAAAGTTCTTGCAATACACTATATGCTTGTCAATTGGGATATGAAATTTTGTTCGTACGTAGTGTAAACAATTACATACATTTTTGCAGCGCCTTTTTATTTTTTTGATAGGTTGTCACAATAACACTTTGTTTGGCCCGTGCCTAGCACGGGCATGCTTCATCTATGTAACGATCCGATGGGGCGTTTTGCTTTGTAGAACCCCTTTCCCCTAAATAATACTTCTCGTACGTGCTTTTGCTGTTTTATGACTTGTGGGGATAGTTATTTCGGGATTTGAAATGGTTCGGGTTGAAATCGGAACACTTGGTTCCTTAAGGTTGGCTTAAAAGACTAAGTTTGACTTCGGTCATTATTTTGAGTAAACGACCTCGGAATCGGGATCTAACGGTTTCAATAGTTTCGTATAATGATTTCGGACTTGGGCATATATTCGGATTGGGTTTTAAACAATCCGGGAGCGTTTCAGCGCCTAATAGTGAAAGTTGGCATTTTGAGCAAAATTCCATAAGTATGGGTTGAAATGGATTTTTACATTCTAGACGTCCGTTTGGGAATCCGAGGCTTAGAATAGCTTTGTATGGTGATTCTGGACTTGGGAGCGCATCCGGAAGTGGATTCAAAGGTCCGTAGGTCGTTTCAGGGTCATTTGGCGAAAGTTAGAAATTTGAAGTTCTGTAAAGTTTGACGAGGGTGGTGATCGGCTCCAACCCTATACCACAATGAAATGGCAAGAGTGATCGATGCAACTTTTACCCGAAAGGTCGGGATCGATATTCACAAGGAGCTATTATTGGTTGGGAGTTGGGTTTCTATCCAATCTAGCTATGCATGTTGCTCTTAATTGCACTTCTAACCATGTTTAGATTTGTTTCTATTCTACTATTAATACTACTGATTGCTGAAAATAATCTAAGTACAATATTTTTGTAGGGTTTTTCTCAATTGATAAAAAGCACTAGGGAAGTGACTTACACCTAGGCGAGTATCTAATGGGGTCTAAGATTTAGGACAAACTTGTTATATTTGGGATCGTGATTAACCTTTCACATAGTTACTCACTCTATACCTCTCGGTAGTTTGAGTGACTTTTCCCTAATTGGCTTTCTCAATCCCAATTGGGTGTTCAAACAATGCAAGCAAAATTGGCTCAAGTCGGGTATTACTATCTCTAGGATTAACCCTTTAATTAGGGCTATCAATCTCTTGAATGCACCCAATTCCTTGTTAGCCTGAATTTCCTAGACATAGTCTCTCTTGTTAGATCTAGTTTTAATGATGCAAATAATATACCTCTGCTGGAAACCAATTATAGAAGAATAAGGAATCAAGAAGATACTACAAGATAGCTGAAGTCAATCTTGATGATTGCCGAAAGAAATCAATCAGCAAAGAGTATAAGCCTATCAGCAAATCTGGATGCCAAAGGAAACAAATTTCAATCAGCAAATCAATCAGCGGACAGCTGCGATGGAGAGAATCACGAAAGCCTAAACTTAAGGCACGAATTAAGGCCAGCATATCCGGAAGATTGAAGAACTTAAGGATCGAATCAAGGCCAGCATATCCGGAAGATTGAAGATCATGCAAAGACTGGTAAGCGGCAAATTTCGGGAGGATCACAATCAAGGAGCAAGCTTTAATAATATGCAGCGATTAAAGGAAGAATATCAAGGAAGAGCAACGGCTAGCTATCTTATTCTTGGAAAGAATAAATTTCTTTCCAAGGATCAAATCTCTTGGGTTGTCAAGCCTCGATCTTCATCAAGCATTTATACCCAGCCTTAACCTAAGTTAGACATACTTTGATCGAACCAAACACCTCTCTTTATTCTACTGCAAACAAACATTGTAGTTCATAAGATCTGCTGTGTAACAAGTCAGAGAAGAAAGGAGAGTATAACATTGGTGAGGCATTGTATCAAAAGGAAACGAGTGTTAGAGGAACTGTGTTATCAAGTCAATTCCACTATACTCGAAGAAACGCATTTACTAAAGAGAACTCCCTTGCAACCCAAGGGGACTGGACTAGGATTCACATTGAATCCGAACCAGTGTAAAAATTCTAGTGTCTTTACTTCCTGCACTTACTTTCTGCATATTACTTTATGTCTTTGTAACTGTTAAGTTATTACATCTAGTCGAATACTTGATAAACTAGTCAACTAATAAGAGAATAAATTTAAAAATATACAATTCACCCCCCCTCTTGTAGTTTCAATTGGTATCAGAGCAAGGCTCACATCTTACTTTTGCTTAACAGCTTGTGAGAACAGATCATGGCAAATCAAGTTATCATAGGAGCTCTCTTTCAGGAAGGAACTTCACAAGTTAGAGCACCATACTTCAATGGACAACATTTCTCCCATTGGAAAGTGCGAATGGAGATCTTCACCAAGGCTTATGATGTTAAAGTTTGGAGAGTCATCAAAAAGGGAAACTATCCCTTACCTGCAGCCACTCCGCCACTTGCTGACCCTGAAGATATAGATTCATACACGAAGGAGAAATTGGAAGTGGTACAAGTTAATAATAAAGCAAGAAATTTGCTTCACAATGCTATAAGCGGTGAGGAATACGAGAAAATCTCAAGCTGTGACACAACCAAAGAAATATGGGACAAGCTTGAAGTCACATATGAAGAAACCAGCAAGGTAAAGGAAACACACATCAACATGCTGGTTCATGAATACAAACTCTTCTCAATGAAAGAAGGAAAATCCATTGAAGAAATATTTGCCAGATTTAGCAAAATAATCAGTGATCTAAAAGCTTTTGGCAAGCCGTATACCAGTGGTGATCAAGTTAGAAAAATCCTTAGAAGTCTGCCAACCACTTGGCAAACCAAAGTGGTCACACTAGAATCTCATGATCTAAACAAATTATGCTATGATGAGCTACAAGGAGAACTCATAGCTTTTGAAAGGACACATCTCAAGAAGACGAGTCAAGAAGAAAAAAGGAAAATAGTCGCATTTAAGACTTCAACCGAAATGGCTGAAAACGAAATTGATGATGATCCTAAAGCCTTACAAGAAGAGATTGCTATACTATCAAGAAACATGGATGGATTAATGAGAAGATTCTGGAATATGAAGAAAGGAAGAATTCCACCAAGACGGTCCAGGCAACACAATGAACAAGACAAGAACGATGGCAAATGCTATGAGTGTGGAAGATTTGGGCGCATTCAAGCAGAGTGTCCAGAACTGAAAAGGAAGATCTCTAGAGGCTTCAACAAGAACAAATCCTTCGGAAGCTGTAGTGATGAGGACAACTCAGACCAGGAAGAGATAGCAAATCTCTGCTTTATGACGATTCTAGAAAACAAAATAAACAAATCCTCAGGATGCTGGATAGATGAGGACACTTCAGATGAGGAAAATGAAAACTGTTTCATGGCACGAGGTGAAACTAGTGAGGTAAGATCTTATAACTGTGAAAGATGCAATGAATTGCAGGATATTCTTGATTTAACTTTGAAAGAGTCTCAAAAAATGATGAATGAGCTTAAGAGACTCACTAAAGAAGTCAAAGACTAGAAACTCAAACATGAAGTATGTGAAATCGAAAAAGAAGTACTTCAAGAAGAGTTTGAGGAATTGCAAATGCAACTCAATGGCATGCGCAGTCCACCAATCACAGTTCTGTTAGGTCAAACCAGACGACTCATAAGTCAACTGGAAAAGGACCGGTCAGAACTAAGTCGACTAGTACTAACACTAATGAGAGACCTAAAGGTAGGTAAGAAGTTACGTGTCATTACTGTAACAAAAATGGGCATAAATACTCCTTTTGTCGCTTTCGTAAAGCAAACGTTTCAGGATGGGCTTGGAAACCAAAAGTTAATTCTGAATCTAGTAACACTAACCCTCCAGGACCCAGGCAAGCTTGGGTACCTAAAAGAAAGTAATCGCCTTGTTTTGCAGGAAAACCACAGAATAAGCCGCAAAGGAAAATGGTATCTAGATAGTGCGTGTTCCAGTCATATGACAGGTGACAAAAA